TAAATAATAATGTAGATATTTGTTATTATTTACTCAATTATTTTAGTCTTCCTATTCATTTTCATGTAAAAAGTCATAGGTTATATGGCTTTTGAAATTTCTGTGACAAAAAGCATATTTTTATTATTTCTATTTATTAAATTGTTTTGTTGTAATTTTTAAGCAGATAAACATTTATATGTGATTAATGAAGTAATCTTAATAAAAAATTAAATCCTGATAACAATTTTTATCAAAGTAATTTATATTTTTCATAATGTTATTTATATCATAAATAACTTATAGAATTACAAGGATGTAATTATCTCATTAAAATTGAAAATTAATTAATTAAAAAAATATTTTTTTTAATTAATTAGAATTCATATTTTTATTGATATTCTTAATATAAACAAAAAACCATAATTTATAAATTGTTGAATCTGTTATTAGTTTTACAAATAAGGAACAACTGTCACTTTTTGCTTTTGATGAAATTATGGAAATTATTTATGATAATAATGAAAATGAAGACTTAATTTAATTTATGATAAAGTATGTCGAATGAAAAAGGGTTTATTAAAAAATATTATTTCTCAGAAAAAAATTGTGTGTATTTTTGTGTGAAAAATCGAGAATTTTCACACAAAAATAGCATTTGGTAGCCATTTTCACCCTGAAGTCAAAATAAAGTACATTACATTAGCTTTAATTTAAAATACATATAAAAGTGTCAGACTTTCTGGAACAATTTCAAAATTTAAATTGAAAAAGTAAATTTTTTGTGAAAAAGTTGTCATTTTAAATCCCCCCCTGTAGGTAGGTAAAAAGTCAGATTTATAAAAAAAATATACCAAATGATAGGTAAAGACATCATGCATCTATAAAAAAAAGAGTTATATTGATCCGTATATCTTTCAAAAAGTTTAATTTAGTTTAAAAGTTTATAGCATTTAAAAATATAAAATTGTTAAAAACATAAAAAAGCATTTTTTTACAAAAATCGTATTTTATTTATAAACTTTGATGTCTGTTTTTACCATAAAGATAAAATAAAGTCCGAAATTTTTTTTGTTTCATGATAAAGAATATTACATAAACTTTAATTTAATATATATATAAAAGTGTAAGACTTTCCGGAACACTCAAAAGTTAAGTTGAAAAAGTTTATTTTTTGTAAAAAAGTTGTCATTTTAAATCCCCCCCGTGGGCAGATAAAGGGTCAAATTTACAAAAAAAATATATCAAATGATAGGTAATGACATCAAGCATTTATGAAAAAACGGTAGCACAGTGGGGTCACGGCATAGTGGAGACATTGCATAGTTGGGTTCAGTATAGATTTAATCTGACAGTGATTAAAATCACTATCATAAGAAACGCTTCGATGCAAATCTGTAGATAGTGTTTAATTTTAAAAAATTGATGGATAATTGCAAAAGCAACATCAACTTCTATTAAAATAAAATACAAAACCCATAATTTTCATACAAAAATAGCATATTTTTGAATATGGTAGCCATTTGCGTATAGAAGATAGGTCGTCGGGACAAATTTTTTTTTTCATTTTGTAGTAAAAAAATATAATATTTTTATTTGTTCATTTTTGAAAAAGTTATGGCAGTTTTAAATACAAAAAACATCCCAATAAAAGATAATTTTTATCGCAAACATTACATTTTTTTTTAAATTTTCGACAGCCATTTTCACATAGAAGATAAGATGTCAGGACAATTTTTTTTTTTCATTTGATAGTATATAACATATCTTTTAATTTGATATATGTTTAAAGGCGCAATATTTCCGGAACATTTTTAAAAGTTCAGTAGAATAAGATCTATGTTTTTTACAATATTTCAAGTTTTGAACGCCCCCTATATAAGGGAAAATTGTCCAATTTTAATAAAAAGTATGTTAAATGAAATATCTACTTATAATGTATTTAGAAAAAAAAATTTGTGCTGATATATACATTTTTCAAAAAGTTATAGCATTTTTAAGTTGAAAATTTAAAATCGAAAATTTTAACACAAAAATAGTGTTTTTTGAATTACGGCAGCCGTTTAAAAGTAGAAGAAAAAGTGTTGGGACACATTTTTTTTTTTCATTTTATAGTACATAAAATAAGCTTTAATTTGATATATGTTTCAAGGACGCAGTATTTCCGGAACCATTTCAAAAATTAAGTTGAAAAAGTTAGTTTTTGTAAAAAAAGTTGCTATTTTAAATCTCTCCCACTGAGCAGGTTAAGTGTTAGATCTTCAAAAAAATAATATCAAATGAAAGGTAAATATCTAAGGTTTTAGTATAAAAAAAAATTATGTTTATTTGTTCATNAAAAAAAAAAAAAAAAAAAAAAAAAAACACATCATAGTAAAATTAATACCTTCTCCGCTTCGCATCGAAGCTAAAAATTTATATTGATATGCTCATTTTTGAAAAAGTTACGATACATTTTAGTAAAAAAAATTGAAAAAATTTCGAAAATTATCGATTTTTATATTTGTAATTTTTTTGGAGGTTTCCCCCATTTACGGGGAACGGGGGAATTTTTTTCAAATTTTAAGGGTAATGTCTTCGACTAGATACGATTTGTGATCGTTGAAAGAAATCTGTTCGGTGATAGCTGAGAAAAAGTGGTAATAGACTCAAAAAAAAACACATCTTTGTAAAATCAATACCTTCTCAGCTTCGCATCGAAGCTAAAATTATTTTACAAAAATCGTAATTTTTGATGTCAACTTTCACCACGAAGACTAGTCCAAAGGTAAAATTTTTTTTTTTACAAATTAAAGTATATTACATAAGCTTTAATTTAAAATATATATAAAAGTGTCAGACCTTCCGGAACATTTTCAAAAGTTATGTTGAAAAAGTAAATTTTTTGTGAAAAAGTTGTCATTTTAAATCCCCCCCTGTGGGCAGGTTAAGTGTCAGATTTACAAAAAAAATATACCAAATGATAAGTAAAGACATCAAGCATCTATATAAAAAAAAATTATATTGATATGTTCATTTTTGAAAAAGTTAGAGCATTATTAAGTTAAAAATATAAAAAAAAATTATTTTACAAAAATCGTAATTTTTTATTAACTTTGATGTCAACTTTCACCACGAAGACAAGTCCAGAGGTCAAATTTTTTTTTTTCAAATTAAAGTATATTACATAAGCTTTAATTTAAGATATATATAAAAGTGTCAGACCTTCCGGAACACTTTCAAAAGTTAAGTTGAAAAAGTTCTACTTTATATATGCATTTTTTATATTTTAAGCCCTCCCATATATAGGGAAATGGTCTGATTTAAAAAAAAAGTATGTCCAATGAAAGAAGTATATATATATACTACATCTCATGAAAAAATTGTATTGATCCATACATTTTTTAAAAAGTTATAGCACTTCAATGTAAAAAATGTAAATTATAAAATCGAGAATTTTCACACAAAAATAGCATTCGATAGCCATTTTCACCTCCTAACCGAAATTTAAGAAATAACCTCCTAACCGTGTAGATTAACCGTGTAAAACTATAAAAAATACATTTTCAAAAATGGACAAGTAAAAAGAGTATTTTTGAAAGTTTCCAGCTTCGTAGTACAGTTTAAATAAATATATCCGACTTTAATTACTCGACCAGAATTGATAATAATTAAATGGGTACAATATTAATGAAATTATAGTTTAAAAGAATCAGTTAGGCACTTGAGATAGGATAGGTCGTTTGATACAATAAATATAAGTGTCTTCCTTAAATTAATGCCTAACGGCAGTTTCAGGGTGGTCCACTGTAATGCCTTAGCAGTCACTGAACCGATATTCTTAATTTATGTACAAACAAAACTCTAATTTAGTCTAGTAGAATCTATGGATGCCCATAGATAAAAATATCCAAAGTATTAATATTTAAAAAATTGTCGTAACACAGTAAAGAATTAAAATGGGTAAATGCGCAACTATGTGTACGAAGATGAATGTGAGGAGGTGGTGCCTGCTGTCTAGGTATTCACGTGCGTGTTGTCGTACAGCAGTCACCGTGCTCGGCTGACACTCCGGGTTAGCTGTGGGTGTCGAAAGGCTGTTGTTATAGGAAGGGAGAATAAGAGTAACACCTAGGTATGAGGTGCAGACGAAGTGCAAGACACAAATACCAGGTGTACAAAAAGGGAGCCCAAAGTATGAGGTGCAGACGAAGTGCAAGACACAAATACGGGGCGTACCAGATAAGGAGAATAACAAAGTACGAGGTGCAGACGAAGTGCAAGACACAAATACATTGGGTATAGGAGAGGATAATGAAGTACGAGGTGCAGACGAAGTGCAAGACACAAGTACTTCAGAGAGAGAACGGGGTAGCCGAGTATAAGGTGCAGACGAAGTGCAAGACACAAATACTAGGCGTACCAGGTGAGGAAAGATAACAGAGTACGAGGTGCAGACGAAGTGCAAGACACAAGTACTCTGAAATGTCGAGGAAAAGAGTATATAGGTTAGAAAAGGAATAAACAAAGACTTTACTTTAAACAGTAAGCCGGACAGCGACAACCGAGTACTGAGACTGATGAATAACACAAGGCACTGGAGTCGACTGACCACGATGGTCAGGTCTATCGGGTTTTTATAATAATGGGCCTATTGCCGATTTGGCAATAAATATTATTTGTTAATTCACCAGTCTCAGGCAGCGGATGTGCTGTCTGTATTTTATTAAAATAATTCTCACGATTATGAGAACGTGACACAATCACAAAATTATTTCGACATCAAGCAACCGTCAAAATTAACAGGTTTGATATTTTTTTATTAATTTAAAAATTTTAACTTACAACCAGATATAAAGGAACATATTTTTTAAGATTATTTAAAATGTTCCAAAACGTCTGACATATTGTAACCTAAATCAAGTTAAAGATGAAAATCACTTGATGTTTGGTAGAGATGACAAATTTTTATTAATTCATTTTCAAATTTACAAAAAAATTTTTAGTTTACAAAGAAAAATGTACAATAATATAAAAAGTATACATTACATTAAAGTAGCTTTTATTTTCATGTATTATTCAAAGTAACGTATTATTTGTAACGTGATTAAATACTAAATAGAAAAAATATTTATATCACCATAAGAAATGATTTAACAAAAATCATATGTCAGTAAGATATTTTGAATACGCCTGTTGAATTTACATGCACGTGTTGTTAATTAAATATAAATTATTAAAGATTCGTAAGCCCATTATCAAATCTTATAAAAATATCCCATACAATAAAAATCAGTTGAAAACATTATGTTAGTGTGTGTAAAACTTCGGGCATTCTCTTTAAGATGACATATTTGACTTGTAAGCAAATGAAATTTCAGAAATGATATCAATAAAATTATACAATTTTAATAAGTTAATTTATTTAAAATATAATGTAAATAACCAAAACAAATGAGTAAAAGAAAAAAATAATAATTACAATTAAAAACTAATCGTGACAACCATTTTTGACAGCATATTGAAATATATCAATATGACCGTTTCGTAAAGCTTCATTAACGGTATATCTACTCCATGGACAATTATTTTCGTGGGCATATTTCAAACAAAGAAATTGACCATTTGCAGCGGCCAGTCTTGTTGTACCTTCATCCCACTGACACCCGTTTTTGTGAGCATATTTTAAGCAATCTAAATTACCATGTGCGGCAGCTGTAACTATTGTACCTTCATCCCATTCACAACCGTTTTCATGAGCAAATTTCAAACATTCAATGGAACCGCTTGCGGCGGCTTCCCTCGTAGTGCCTTCATCCCATAAACAACCATTTTTATGGGCATATTTTAGACAGTCTAAATGTCCATTCGAAGCAGCCCCTCTCATCGTACCTTCGACCCAATCGTATCCATGTTGACGGGCAAATTTTAGGCAATGTAATTTACCATGCACGGCTGCCGCAACTATTGTTCCTTCGTCCCATTTGTAACCTATTTCATGAGCGTATTTTAAACATTGTAAATGTCCGTATGCAGCAAATAACCTTGTTATTTTTTTATCCCATTTATAACCGTTTTCGTGAGCATATTTTAATATTTCTACATTACCAATAAAAACAACAATCCTATATAAGTCTGCATTCATTGGAGGTCCATTTTCGTAGTAATATTTTAAAATTTTTAAATCACCTTTAGAAACGGCTAATTCTGTTATTGCTCCATCCCATTTAGATCCGTTTTCATGAGCGTATTTTAAGCATTCAAAATGACCATACCTTGCCGCAACTGTTGTCGTGCTTACATTCCATGGACATCCGTTTTCATGAGCGTATATTAAGCAGTCTAAATAACCGTCTTTCGCACAACTTTTAGTCGTTAGATAAGCCCATTCACATCCGTTTTCATGAGCATATTTTAAGCAGTCTAAATTCCCATAAGCTGCAGCATAGCTAGTCGTTTCATCATCCCATTGGCAACCGTTTTCATGAGCATACTTTAAGCAGTCCAAATGCCCATTCGCGACAATTGACCTTATTGTATATGCAGTCCATTTACATCCATTTTCATGAGCATATTTTAAGCAGTCTAAATGTCCATTTTCTGCAGCAATATCAAGAGTACTCTTGCCCCATTTGCATCCATTTTTATGAGCATAAATTATGCAGTCTAAATGGCCTTGTCTAGCAGCAACACTAGTTGTATCCTTGTCCCATTGGCATTTATTTTCATGAGCATAAATTAAGCAGTCTAAATGGCCGCCTCTTGCAGCCTTTCTAGTCGTTCCTTCATCCCATTCGCATCCGTTTTTATGTGCAAATATCAAACAGTCAATATAACCTCTCTTAGCGGCTCCTTTTGTCGTGCCTTTGTCCCATTTACACCCGTTTTTATAGGCATATTTGAGACAGTCTAAATGTCCGTTTTTGGCAGCTCCTTTAGTAGTACCTTCGACCCAATAGCGGCATCCATGTTCATAAGCATATTTTAAGCAATCTAAATGTCCTTTAGTAGCTGCTACTAATAATGTTTCTAGATCCCATTCGCAACTGTTTTCATGGACGTATTTTAATATTTCTAGATTACCATTAAAAGCAGCAGCACTAGTTGTCTTTTCATCCCACGGGCATCCATTTCGGTGAGCATATATTAAGCAATCTAAATTACCATTCTTGGCCGCTGAAACCATTGTACCTTCAGCCCAATCGCATTTATTTTCATGAGCATATTTTAAAATATTTAAATAACCTTTAGATGCAGCTTCTTGTGTTACTTCTTTATGCCATTGACATCCATTTTCACGTGCATATTTTAAACAATCTAAATTACCTCCTAAAGTAGCAGCCATAGTCGTTCCTTCATCCCAGGGACATTCGTTTTCGTAAGCATATTTTAAACATTCCAAATTGCCTTTTTGAGCCGCTATAGCTGTTGTATTTTTGTCCCATTTACAGTCATGTTTATGAGCATATTTTAAGCATTCTAAATGCCCATATTGGGCAGCGGCCTTTGTCGTTTTCCGATCCCATTCACATCCGTTTTCATGAACGTACTTTAAGATTTCTAAATTACCATACATTGCAGCTGCTTCTGCTGTCCATACATTCCATGGGCATCCATTCTCATGCGCGTATTTTAAGCAGTCTAAATTACCGCCTTTCGCTGCGGCTCTAGTCGTTCGATAATCCCACGCACAACCATTTTCATGAGCATATTTTAAGCAGTCTAAATGCCCATTTAAAGCAGCAGCCATTGTGGTATCTGAATTCCATCTACATCCTTTTTCATGAACGTATTTTAAGTTTTTTAAATTACCATAATTTGCTGCTGCTTCTGCTGTCGATACATTCCACGGACATCCGTTTTTATGAGCGTATATTAAGCAGTCTAAATGGCCGTTTTTCGCTGCGGCTTTAGTCGTTTCTACATCCCATTTGCATCCTTTTTCATGAGCATATATTAAACAGTCTAAATGTCCGTCTTCTGCAGCATTTTTAGTCGTATCGTCGTCCCATTTGCATCCGTTTTCATGTGCGTATTGTAAACATTTTATATGTCCATTTGATGCAGCAGCCTTAGTGGTTTCTCTATCCCATTTACAACCATTTTTATGAGCATATTTTAAACATTTTAAGTGTCCATTAGCAGCAGCAGCCATTGTGGTTTTACTATCCCATTTACCTCCATTTTCATAGACGTATTTTAAACACTTTAAATTCCCACTTGCAGCAGCTTTTTCTGTTGTATTTTTATCCCATTCACATCCACTCTCGTAAGCTAGTTTTAATGTTTCTATGTCACCAATTGAAGCAGCTTTACTTGTCGTACCCTTTTCAAATGGACAAATTTTTTTGTCTTCCGTATATTTTTTTACAATCCCTATACAATTACAATAATGAATTATTCTTTGCTTTTTTAAATTTTATTTAAATTACTAAACAATATCTAATTATGAGAGTGACAGTTTAATATCATTTTTGTTTTTTATCTTAAAATTTAATCTATGACTTGAGATCTATATCTATATAATAGATTTAATGGAAAATTAGTGAATGTATTAGTTTAACAATAAATCTACGAATTCAATCCAAATCGGTTATTATACATTTAATGTACAATCACGAACCTTGTTTTTATCTTATTATATTATAAAAAAGTTTATATTAGTAAATAAGAATTTTTTTATCCTAGCATCTATTAACTGGTGTTTCCTACAAAATGGAATTGTATTTATGTTTATCATATCATTAATTCGTTCCAGAAATTCAACGTGCGTTATTACCATCCTATATACAAAATATGTATTCCACCTAAAATTATTCGACAAGTTAATAGAAACTAAATTATCATCTGAATATATTTTCTTTAATTTAAATAATAATCAGTTTGGTTGTTGACGATCAGAATCTACAGTAACTAATTTATTAATAGTTGTAATAATGATACGCGTTATTTCGTGCGCACAAACTATAGCATTTAACTACCGGGTCCCATAAAATAGTTTGTATTATTATTGGCGACATTCACAGTCATAAACGTTACGGTTACTATTGTAATAATGTCATACCCGTACAAAAAACAGTGTGATAGTACAATACTAATAAGACTATCACATAAATAACAATAATATTATAGTCGGTTATTATTGATATTATATTGATAGTATTATTGATGTTTCATACGCGTATTTTTGTGAAAACAACCACTTATATTTTTTATTTTTTTTATTTTAGCGAAATACAGTTAGGAATGTTTACTTTTCCAGTAAAACATCTAATCAAATGTACCTTCGGAATTATTGCGCGGCTGTGCTCACAGGCAGCTGAATGGACCCACAACGAAAAGTGATATGCTAGCCGTCTTAAAAAACAGCTTACGCGGTAGAAGGGTTAGACTCATCCAACGCGATCCTTCCCGAACGCCAGCCGCATATGAAACACTCGTGCCAGAATGCGAGTCTCGGGTAGTCGTAGTCCTTGCGCAGTACCGGACTACCCCCACACCCGTGGATTAACCAGTTAACTTGGCGCAGGAGGACTCTGAAGCTGAATCTCTACACGAGTGGTCCCAGGCAGCTGAACGACCGAACGGTAGTTTGAACTCAGTGTATACGAACGACTTGTTTACGGTGCGTCCAATATTATCTATTTTGTATACGGAGTATTGCGCAAACACATTTGCGTCATCGACATGCGATTTACCCCCATCCTATCGACCCGCTCGCACACACTTGTAACGACAGTACCAAATAATATTTCTCCCGCTATACGACCCCGGAGTTTACAAGAAAATATTAGGAGGATTTGAGGAAGTTTTTGGAGCAGCTTCAAAATCTCCTGGCCCAGTCCCGTATTCACTACGATTTGTGCGTGTAAGCCAAGATACTGTTTTAAGGGGCGCGGCATTTACTTGGAAGAAGCCCATAAAGTTAAACAGCATGTCCTGGCGCCTTTTTACATGGAAGTTTCTCATGACGTTCCGCAATAACATCATTCAATAGAGGCTGGAGAAAGGAACTCATAACAACATAACAAGAGAACCATCAGCAAATGACAGAGTATATTATAAATAAACAACGGCTAACGATGCGCATGCTGTGCTCTAGATGTTCAAAGAAGCACATAATTGATTGGGTAGTCAGTCTTTTGCGCGACGAATATTACGACAACGTAATAATGCGATGTCCGCGTAAATTAGACGATCTATGCGTAATCTCGAACGATGTTGACAGACTATTATGCATGGGTAGATAGAACATAAATCCGTACGTGCCGCCTCTTGCACCTCCCCAACCACTATAGATCGTCCGACAACTGAAGGGAACATCTAACGCATCTAACTCCCAGATCCTGTCGATATTCCAGAGGTCGACAGTTTTGGGAAATGAGCAACATCCACGGAAAAGTTAGCCTGCTCTGCTAGCTCAAAGTCAAAATTTCTATCAGCACACGACTTAAAACGTAGTACAAACGAACAGCTCACTCGCCGCCGCCGGTAATGAAATCAATTGCGTTCCTCTCGGTAAATGACGAGATTTTTGACAGTATTCTACTTCACCTCGCCCATTCAGCGGTACAACAATCTCGACTATAACCCCTCGTACACAACGTAGGACAAGCTATAGTCCCTTCAAAAGCAATCACCGCATCTCCATCCCACAATGAGAACCACACTGCCTTTAAAAAATAAATAATTGTGCGGCAATAAAACAAAAGTCCTCGTACTATGTGAAAATAGCATAAAAATAATATATAATGTTTTTTACATTTTTTAGCTTTGATTTGAAGCTGATAAGGTATTAATTTTACTATGATGTATTTTTTTTTTATGTAAGTTGCCTATTTTTATTAGCTGATACTGGACCGATTTTTTTCTCGATACGTCAAAAGATCACAAATCACATCTAGTTGAAGACATTACCTTTAAAAATTGAAATAATTTCCCTCGTTCCCTGCAAATGGAGAAAATCACCAAAA